TCTTCTCCCACCAAATTCAAAGGCATTCCTGCGTGGCGTGTTGGACTCCAATGGGGCTCATGATCGTGAACTTGACAGACCGTTCAATGAATCGCCCAGCCTCACACGACAAGACCGAACTTCACGCCACCCAAATTAAAAGACTTAACCCGACTTCGGGCCCGCCAACGGTCAATTTCTGTATCAGTTATCACGAATAATTGGGATAAATCTGACGGGGCTTGTGAGAACGGCACGAAAACTCAACCGGATACGAAGCGTAACTTGGGACAAAGTTCATGCCGGTGTTGAAACTCACCACAGTACTGAGTGATCTTGGACAATACCATCAATTCCAGTCGAAATATAATCTAAGGCAAGCCAAATCTCGTCAAATTGATATACAACATGTGGGGTACGAGACAACACGCGTGGCCGCTCGCTCGCTTGGTCGGTACCCTTCTCTGCTCTGTTCGTATTCAAACCACATCCCTCCTCGGAACACGAGAACAGAACAAAGAACACAGATGAAGATACAAGCTCTATTAATCTCGAATCATCGTCTCCATCCATACCTTTGTGTCGCCCCAGAAGCGCGCACGCCCAATCCCAATTCGCATGAAAGCATCAAGCGAAAGTTCGAAGTGCGCGCCCACTCACGCTCCACTTCCAATTCCAATCCAAGGGGAAAGTAGGAGAAGGAACGCCGTTAGAAGAGTCACGTCCCCGTCCCACCGAAAAGCGCAAAAGATACAATCCATCCAAAAAAAAAGAAATGCAGGATATATGGAGAACACCAACTCGCCGAAGTAAACACGAGCGCAGCGAGTGAAAGTGAAAGTGAAGATACAAAGCGAAACAAGAAAGTACGACGAAAAACGCACCCAACCATCCACACCATAATCACATGGTGGAGGACAAACTCGAAGAAGTCCGAGCGGCGCTTCGGTAGTGGGCACTTCATAAAAGGAACGTAGAAGAAAACGAGGTAGGGAAGGCACAATGCCTCCCGGGCAGAAGCCAACACCAACGGACGAAATAGGAATGGGAGTGGGAACCTATCTACCGACGCAAGCGCGAACGGGTGCCGGTACAGATATCGATCCACGGGCCGCGGCGCATATATACATGCCCAGGACACGTCAAGCGCGCGCATTTCGATGGCCCGCGTCCACATCGGGGGCCCGAGAATAGCGCCCAGCGAAGCGTTTTTTTGTAGGCAGCCGCATTGATTGGGGTCGGATCCGGGACACCCCAGGAACGAAGCGCACCCATAAAAGTCAAGGGCACGCGCGGCGCGAATCGGCAACCCCAAACTCAGGAACTCAGCGAATCCACCAATTGGCAGGTGAGCGACTGGTGGCCCGCACACTCCCCGCATCCGCGTTCCATGCACTAGCGGGGCGCCAGTCGATACACGAACGCGCGCGCGCGCTGGAGGAAAGAAGGCGGGGCTGCAGAAAAGAACCCGACGTGGTGCTGCAGGAAAAAACAAAGAACTGCGCGCCGACATCGAGCACCGCCGATGAGGAGTCCAAACACCCTCCCCTTGCTCTCCCCAAAAAAGAAAACCGCCGATATAGATGGAAGACGAAAATCGGAAGACTCCACTCACCAACACCTGTCGAGCCATAAGCGCGCCGTGAAGGGGTTGAGCGTGGAGGAGGCGGGGCTGGTGTACTGCGCAAGGAGGGTAGCGAGCGCAATGAGGATGCAGCGGAAATTCATGGAGCGGGTGAGCAATATTAACGGAGTGGGGACCAAAAGGAAAGTAAAGGAAGACGGTACGGAGAGAGGGAGAGATGGAAAGCAAAGGGAGAGGGAGTATGGAGGAAGGAGAAACAAGGGAGGGACGAGGAAGGAAGGAAGGAATGGGAAGGGAGGGGAACGAGGTGCATGCAACGCGATGCATTGCCTGCGGTGCCGCAACAGACAGGAATATGAAACGAGCACTCACCACCCCCAAACCCCACCACCGCGAAGTACACCACCGCATACCCATGCTCCCCAAACCGCGTCAACTTCCCCGCCTTCCGGATCCCCCACCTCCTTGCGAGCGCCGGAAAAAGGCTGGGGCTCAGCACCAAGCGCAAGAGTGAGAACAAGACGACGCTGTATGCGAGCAGCATGAGGTCTCAGGGGCCTTCGAGGTAGAGCTGCGTCGTCGGGACGAGCTCGGGACGCACGGCAGCTGCGGAGAGGCACTCCGGGGCAAGGGTGGGGTGGGAGAGGAGGAAGAACGGGATGATGGGGTTGCCCACTCCTTGAAGCGAGAGAGGGCGGTACGGGCGCAGAAGCGGGAGGAGAAAGTGCATCGGGAAGGCGAGGAGCGGAGCGGGGGGAGGAAGAGCACTCGCAGGGCCGAGGCGGGTCGACGGCCCAGCGCAGCCAGATGCTTACATCCTCGACTTTAGGCATCGACGACTTGAGCCCGCAGACGAAGGAGGGAACGAAGGACGGTTTAGGGCAGGCTGGCGAGGAGAGGGCGATGGCGAGAGGGAGGATATGGGCGAACTGGAGTTGCTGTCAGTGTTGTCGTGAGGGGACGCACGGCCAGGTATTTACATGAGAAGTAGGAAGAGAGACATACTCAAATCTTGTTTTTGGGGGAGATCGGGCTGTGGATGTCATCGTGAAAAGAGTGGCAAGACGGAAGGTCAACGGAAGGTGACATTCAATTTTTGACAGCCTGTGTATTTTGATCGTACTGATCGGGCCTGGTGGTGCCGCTCTTTTCCCGCTCATCTCGGCTTTTTGCTGTGCCCGGCATTAGCACTAGTCCCGTTAATTTACCACGGGTCCCCGTGCTTCGTCGGGAGTTGCATAGCATGTGTCTTGGTTCCGAGTGCGTCAAGAGTCCGCAATAAAATGTCAAAAAATAGCCTTTCGTCTGCGGGTTCCGTCCTTGGTTCGGTTTTATTTAGGTTTTACTCCAACTTCTAGGCTAAATATTTAAAATTGAACTAAGTACCCTAAGCTCACGATAAACGTCCTGAGTGGCCCACACAGCACCACACAGTGCTAAGAAACCAACCATAGGAAGATACTCTCGGACTCCATTGTGTTGCGAAAGGGGGATTTATATCTTATTAGATGTCCACCATTCTTGGCGGATGGTCAGTACCAGAACCATTTTCTCCTCAAATCCGCCCGCGTAATCTCGCTTATTTATGACTTACTGTGCTCCGTCGTTTCTATGTTACAGATGAGTGCTCTAAACACAGTCTCTTATATGTGGGTTCGGAATCACCCCTACACTGTCTCGGTAGTGCATGGCCACACCTACCAAGTTACTGATGGAATCAAGAAATATGCAGGAGACACCCGTTCGATTGGGGTCCGAGCCGTAGGACGATGTTGGGTATGATTTCTTTTTTGATTATTTAAATTTTTTGCCCCCACACAGTACTCTCTTCTGGCCATCCGAATTCCATGTCTAAAACCACACTACGTACCTTCCATTCCATTACAAGTCCATATAGGTAAAGGGATTCAGAGTCAATATATATGATACATTAACCTTCCAACTCAATTGTACATCGGCTCGGTGGTGAATGCCCGACATTTGCATTCACCTGATGCTCATGGCATGCTGAGGCAGGACCTGCCCGTTCGACTCGGGCCCGAGCCATGGCTAGTTCAACTTAGTTTTATTTTTTTATTTGCCGCTCATAAATTGCAGAGTCGTGGAAAAGGGAGAGATTATATTCGAGAAATTTTCAAAAAAAGTGCAACCAAGATCAGACACCTGTTCTCCTCGTGCCCGACATTTTTTCTCTCTCGTGTGTACAAATAAATATCTGTTTCAAGTGACGTGTGCACGACTTTCCATCATTTTTCACTGGTGATTCCAGGGGGTATTATATATTTCTGCGCCAAGGTATTCTCCTATCGACTCGTTAGCAGATGGACCACGCCTACTATAGATGTGCCAGCGGGCAGACATATGCACGAGCCACCCATTTGACTTGGGTTCGAGCCATGGCCATTTTGAGCTGACGATTCTTTTTTGACATCCGATTGTTATCCGATTCGAGCAAGATTCAAGACGGATTCTGCAACCAAGATTGAAGACCTATTCTCCTCGTGCCCGACATTTTCTCTCTCGGGTGTACAAATAAAAATCTGTTTCGAGTGACGTGTGCACTCGACTTCCATCATTTTTCAGTGGTAATTCTATAGGGTATTCTACATTTCTGCACCAAGGTATTCTCCTATCGACTCGGTAGCAGATGGCCACAGTGTTGTCCTTAAGAGTTAAGACTTAAGTTAAGTTAAGGCTTAATTACCCCTTAATATTAAGACTTAGCTTCAAGCTTCGGTACCGTTAAGCCCTAATTAAGACTTATTGATGGCAATTACATAATTTTTTCTTCGCATCTTCTTCGTCAATGCCGCAAATATTCAACAAATATTGCTCATGGTCGGACAGTGAGTCATGGAGTTGTTGGCTGCTGAGCACTCGGACGAAGAGTTAGATGACGGGGAATTGGAAGGGTCTGGCGATGATTATGACGGCTGATTGTGCAGTAGCTACTTACGATCTGACGCAGAAAAAAATTGAGCACCCCTTCACTTAAGCCTTAATATGCTCTTAATATTAAGGCGTAATTAGGTGTTAAGGCCTTAACAAAAAAAAATTACCCTTATTAACCCCTTAAGTGACAACACTGGATGGCCACGCCTACTATAGATGGGACAACGGGCAGACATATGCAAGATAGCCGCCCGTTCGACTCGGATTCGAGCCATGGCTATTTTGAGCTGACAATTCTTTTTGGGATCCGATTGTTATCCGATTCGAGCAACATTCAAGACGGATTCTGCAACCAAGATTAAACACCTGTACTCCTCGTGCCCGACATTTTTCTTTTTCTCGTGTACAAATGAGTACTTATCCCACATCTTCGAGCGACCTTCGAGTTACCTGGATTAGTCGTGTACTGAACGTCCATCATTTTCCACTCGTGAATCTGAATCTAGAGGGTCTATATATTCCCGCGACAGCAGAGGCACATATCGGCTCGGTGGTGGACTCGGTCCGCATCTGCACCAATCAAAACTAAACCTCATGTGGGACAGGAGACGCCCGTTCGACTCGGGCCCGAGCCATTCTGGGTGTTTCCCGCCTTTTGCTCAACGCTTGCACCCCCGACGATTAATCTTACGCCTTAATAGTAGGATAATACTTGGTGTTAATAAGAGTAACTTAGTCAGTGTAAATAATACATGAGATTAATCGAGGATTATCTATAAGACACACTTAGGATTATTCTGTATCGAGGCGACAACGCGTGTGTACGCAAGGATTATCCATAGTATCCTCCACGGGATTATCCAAGATTATCTGTAGGATTATTCTCGACAAGATCATCCGTAGGATTATTCTCGACAAGATCATCCGTAGGATTATTCTCGACAGGATCATCCGTAGGATTATCCTGGATTATGTATATGTAGGATTATCCTCGACGGGATTATCCCATAGGACTGATTATTGTACTCGTCCAGGATTATTCAATGAAGTTTAGCTGGCATTATGTAGGCTTTTCGTACCATCTTTTATGCGCTGCAAACCCACGTTAGGGAATGACCCGAATGAGATCTTCGCACACACGCCACACGCCCGCGCGGGCGTTCCCCATATGCAAGTCGCAATCCTCATGCGTTCCCCGCCCCAGCCTGTTCCGAAACTTCTTGAGGTTATTTCCTAAAAAGGCAATCGCGCACACTTGAGAGAGAAAACATTTATCTATTCGCTATAAAATACATTCGTTTAAAATGATGTGGCATGTCAACATTTCCTGAGCGGAATTGTAAGTAGCTTGCGGATTTGGACTGCAAATCAACTTACTTCACTTCGTCACAAGTTCAGGCGAGGATTTTTGCCACGCCCTTCACGCGTAGAACACCGAATCCCTCCCTCGGGAATAATTACGACCTTCTGGCGTTTGTTTGCCGCGGGAGCTTGATCTACACCGGTATCGGGCACCTTCCTCTTCGCCGCCCCGCTCGCCGCCTTCTCCTTCTCCTTCCCCACCGCCCGCTCTTTTTAGGAGGCCTCCCTCTCTTCTTCGGTGCGGGAGCGGAAGGTGTATCCTCGTCTGCAACGGGGACAGTAGGCAGCACCCTCTTCGGAGGCCGTCCTCTCTTCCTCGCGGCAGCCGCAGGGAGGGCAGGCGCATGGGAGGAAGCGGGCGCGCCCTCGCCGCTAACAAGAGTGAGAGGCGGAGGGGGTGCGAGCCTGCCTTGCCCAACGGGAGGAGTGGCAGTGGGGCGCAGGGGCGGTGCGAGCCCGCCTTCACCAGTGGGAGGCGGAGGTGGAGCGAGCCTGCCTTCACCAGCAACGGCAGGAGTCGGAGTAGGGGGCTGGGGTGGAGCGAGCCCGCCTTCATGGGTAACGGGAGGAGTGGGAGGCGGGGGTGGAGCAGACCTGCTTTCACCGGCAACGGGAGGAGTGGGAGGCGGGGGTGGAGGGAGGCTACCTTCGTCGTCGTCGATCCCGAACTCGTCGAGCACTATATGTTCTCCTGGAGAAAGCGGGGCGTCCGGGTCGAGGAACATGTCCACTGACGTTGCACGAAGCTCGCCTGCGTTGTTAATGAGAAGTATATTTAACGGATGGACATGACCACTTACTGGGAGCTTGGGTGTCAAGGGGCGGAGCGGGAGGTGCATTGGGAGGTGTGCTGGAACCGCTCGCGGTGCTCTCAGCAGAAGCCAATGCGACCCCTTTCACCAACCCCGGGGAAAAGTCTTCGCTGTTGGTGTTGTCGTCGGTGCTCTTCGTGTCCGCGGGGGCCTCCGCCGGTGGCGCTGTCAGCTTCAGCTCGGTGTCGAGGTCCAGGGGTTCTTCCGCGGGGAGTGAGAGGAGACCATCCATGTCCAACGGCGTTAAATGAAGGTCGTCGCCGGCTAGGTTGTGAATTAGAGGGAGCTATTGTCGGGGAATTGATCACTTACCCGACAACCTCGATGTGGCCCAGGCTTTGAATGCCGTCGCCTCTCCATCGGCGACCGGCGTGAAATCGTCTTTCTGTTTGCCGTCGTGTACCGACACTCTGTTAATCCTCACTATATACACCTCATAAGTGTGCAAGTCACTCACCTCCGGAATTTGATGGTGCCGTCCGGCTGCAGACACGCCGATCGCACTAGAAAGCAGCACTTGCCTGCCTGGTTCGGACCAAACCCTATAAGGCGTTGCAGAGCATCAAACGCATGATTACTGAGATAGTCCTGGTTCCTGTGCAAAAGGTTAGTGCGTGAGGCGTTGACAAAGACAACGGCGGCTTACCTAGCAAGGCTCTCCTCTGTTGTCATCTTCTTGCGTTCATTTTCAGCGTCCGCCAGCCCTTGGAGCCTTTTGATCTCAGTCTCACTGCAACGCGCCCACCTCTCCTCGAGAATCCGAGTGAAGGACTTCACCGCGAGTCCGTCACGTAAACTACGTTCCGCGTTCTCGTTTTCCTGCTTTGCTTGGCGATCAATGTCCTTCTTATTCTCCAGCCTAAACATGTCCTTGGCAGTTTTGCGGCGAATGCGAGGCGCGGGCCCTTTGCGGACGGGTACAGCAGGCTCGTCGGCGTCGTCCCCAACTGGTGCTGGAACTGGTACCTGACCCTTGTCTTTTGCTACGCGAATCCAGTTCTTGTGACTCTGCACGATGGTCTGAATGAATAGTGAGCACAATCAATACGGGAAGTATATGGATTCATACATCCAGAAAATCCTGGATCTTGAATCCGTTCGGCCTACTGATGTCGAACTTTTTATCAACCTCGGGGTAAATCTCGGATTCTATGTAGTACTTCCGAGTACGCTTGTCCTTTGGATCCTTGGACGCCTCCCATTTCGCGACCTGAGGGAAGCATGTATCTTGAAGGTACTTGAAGATCTCGTCTGAGCGTTTAGCGAGTTCCTTGTCCTGGCGATTCTTCTTGTTGGTGCGGATGAGGCTCCAGGTATGACGGGAGTCATCGCTGGGGGATGTGTCGGGTGGCAAGGCGTCCGACGTGTCGGGCGGAGAGTTGTCCGTGGTGTCGGGGGGAGAATTATCGGTCATAGTTGTGTACTTGCAGATGAGTGGCAGAAGGGGTACGAATGGCTATTTAACAGTCAGTCTTTTATACCACGACCCACTTCCAAGCGAGTCACCTCCGGAGAACAAAGCGCGTCTTTGGACCATACGCTTTGAGCAGGCATATGCCACCCAGAAGGAAACAAAGGGAGGGTAGCTGCAAAAAAAAAACACATGTTGAACAAGATGAGAACGCCGTTTGGAATCGTATTCAAAACGTACCAAGTCATGTCGTTTTTGAAGGAGCGCACGCGTATTTTCAACGCCATGCAGTGAAGCGCCGTGGAAAATACTTCAAAATAGATATGAGACAGGTCAGATTCAACTGCCACCCGCTGGAGCATAGCAAGATGGGACATACACCGTACTGTTTGGAGGTGGGATTTTGAAGCCACGGATTGGGATTGGGGACACGGTTCAGCCGACGTCAAGTCTAGCTATCGATAGGAGACGGTTCAGCCGACATGGAGTCTGACTATCGAGTGGCCTGGTTAATAAATAGAGGGCAAGGGTCGAGGACGCGAGTGGCCACATTAAGGTGATGAGTGAGCCGACGTAGCGTCTAGCTCGACCAACCGACACGAAGTCTAGTTTGGATTTATCCAGAGTGGGGGTGGGAGGGACCTTTTGAGGCCTTGGGCAGCGGATTGCTGAGGTCGTTGGATGTGGTAGGAGGAAAGCGACTCTGATTGACGTCTGCTGCCGAGATTCCCATCACGTGATCTCGACGCGTCGCGGTCCTGTCAAGAAAGTATGTGGATAGACTCAATTATGCTGCGATTCAGGAAAGTTTTTTCAGGGAAAGGGTTTGTAATTGACATAAGTACGTGATTTCGACCATGATTCATATTCTACACCGCAGAAGATTAATTAGTTGAAGTCCAATTTAGCCTCGACTTTAATCCGAGTCCGACGTAAGGTCAATTATTTCTTTACCGTCCTCAGACATGTCCCTATCCAACTCCTTCAAGTACTTGATTTCGGTTTCAATACCCTGATATGGGCGAGCTTTGAAAGCTGGCAACCGCAAGCGCAAAGGACCCGCAACGGGAAGCGGGGGAAGTCGCGATGGGCCCGCCACTGCTGGCGCTGATGACGAAGAGGCGGCCGTCGATGTGGACACCGCCGACGATGAAGGGGGTGAAATGTCGAGTACTTCAACCGCAACCGTATCGTCTTCGTCTTCGTCGGATTCGAATGCTGAGGTCCCACAGTCAAACCATAATCATTCGGCAATGAAAAACTCACCTGCTGCCAAAGTCGCCACAGAGAGATATGCTTCGGTGCTGTATGCTTGCAACTTCGGACACTGGTCTTCCAGGATAATAGCAGCCCTACAGACCAAGATGTTTCCGCGGCTGAGCATGTTGATTGGCGTCGAAAAGGCCTTTGGAAGAAAGTGCCGTTCGAACACGCAAAACCACTCGTAATCAATGGCCACTTTATTGTCCGTGGCAACCGCCCCCACCTTGGCCGCGAAATCCATGGACGAGAGATCAACACGGCTGGCGTGCCTGAGCTGCACTGGCTCGGACAGAGGAAGACAGCCAACTTTGTTGTATAGGATAACGGTGATGTTGCAACCTCGATGGACGCTAGTCAGCATAGATTGATAGACCAGATTTCGGCACTTACTTTGGTCAGGGTTCACCTCATACAACTGAGGGTCATATTGATCTTGTGGGACGTGATGTTTCTCGGCGGTCGCGCTGTCTGTCACGACCCGATGCGCAGTAATTTTGTCAGTGCGCGCCTCGTGGAAAAAAAAGTAGGAAAGACTCACGGGCATTCGAGGCCCTATTCTTGCCCTTGCCATCGTCTTCATCATCGCCTGCATTACGTTCAACGAAAGTACGGGAAATGAGAGAATGGTATGAACTTGGCGCCAATACGGTGCGATGCTTCGCCTTCTTAGCATCTGGGAGAGCGCATATGATTATGACGGACGAGGTTGTAAATGAGAAGGAATCTCACCGCGACTCGGTTGTTCCTCTGCGTTATCCACGGCCGCCCTCTTCGATGCTCCTCTGTG